CAAAACTCGTGGTTCAATGGTCAAACTCGTGGTGCAATGGTCAATGGCCAAAACTCGTGGCTCACTGGTCAGCACCCTCAATGGTCAAAACTCGCGGCTCAATGGTCAAAACTCGTGGTTTAATGGTCAAGCTCGTGGTTCAGTGGTCAAAATCCTCAATGGTCAAAACTCGTGGCTCAATGGTCAAAACTGGTGGTTCAATGGTCAAACCTCGTGGTTTAATGGTCAAAACTCATAGTTACATGATCAAAACTCGTGCTTCGAGGTCAAACATCTATGCTTCCTCCCAGAGGCGCCCCATGGGGCGTCTTTCAGTCCATGGTTCGAGGGTGGGGTGGGGATTATAATTCTATTAGCATGCAAAAGTCAACCGAAATGCTGAAAATATGGTTCGAGGGTGGGGTGGGGATTATAATTCTAGAGTGTTGTAGCTCAGGTGTCATCATGAGGGTTCACTGCCTCTCTGAACTGGGCTCGCTGCAAGCATAAGAGCGATTTGACCTTAAGTGTTGGCGCAAATCATGTTGGCAAGGCATTATGCTTGGTCAGCAAAGGAAACAAGGTGACAAGGCATTACTCATTGCACGCGTTCTTGAAGCTTTGTCAAATGATAAGACTATTACGCATACTATATTCTAGCTGGGGAGCCGTGACAAAGGCAGGCACGGTATGTCTGAACCGGGCTCGCTGCATAATGGCGATTTGACCTCGGGCAACTGTGTCAGATAAATCATTGGTCAACAAACGAAATAATTTGGCAAGGCATCAAGAATTGCATGCATGCTCAAAGCTTTTTTGTCAATCGCAAGGATGAGTGACTCCTCGGTTTGAACTGCTATCCACCCCTCGGTTGGCGAGATTGGTTTCTCGCGTGTGCCAAGCTTTTTTGTCAATCGCAAGGATGAGTGACTCCTCTTGAAATGATATCTACCCCTCGGCTGGCGAGATTAGTTTATCGTGTTTGCCATAGGCCTAATAGGTGCTCAGGAGCTGGAGGAAGGGAAGCCGCCGCTGGTCTGGCTGCCTGTGGAGGTTGTTGGCATAAAGCTGGATGAAGTGCTGTCGGGCTGCGGCGACTCTTCGTCGCTGCTGGTTTCGTCCAGCTCATCGGGCTCACTGCTGTGAGTGCTTTCGCTCAAACCAGAAACCTCGTTCTGCTCGTCTGAACCCTCGCCCTTTCCGGCTCTCCAATCCGAGCGCCTGATGCGGCACATGAGGAACACATCTGCGCGCCGCTTGGCCCTGGAGACACCGACATAGGAGTATCCTCGATTGTCGGTGCGCAACACCTTTCTGACCATCCCGGCATTGCCGTTCGCGAACCCCCTATCTTTGTCCACGTTGTGAGTCAATCGGATCCTCATTCCCGGGGCCACCGTGATCTTTTATCACTCTCGGTGGGTGTCCCCCCACCAGTTGCTAGAATTGCGGCAGCTTGGGGAAAGTCCAGCTGCAGCCGAGCCAGATTCAAGAGGGCAGCCCCTTTGTTGGTAACAGTCAGGAAGGTAAAGTTTTTCCCATCGATAGACTCCATGGCTTTCGCAGTCCTCGCGGCAGCCGCAACATCTGACGGCCAGACACGACCGCTGAAGAAGGCTTGAAGTTCCTCTCTGGTCGGCTGCCGAACCCGTGCCGCATTTAGGAAGCTGAGCATTTCCGCATCTACGGCGCGGGCTGCTTGATGATGTTTGGGCACTACGTAGAAGATGCTCTCAGCTTCCCTCTGCTTCTGCAGTGCAGATTCTAACTCAGGACCTCCACTGAGAGGCTGCAGTT